CCCCAAAACCCCAAAACCCCAAAACCCCAAAACCCCACTTCAGGACAAGATTATTGAAACTGCTGACATAATTACCAAAATTCTCGATCTGTAATTTTCTGGTTTCTCTATACATACCAGTAACATCTTTGATTGGAGGCATCTCCAAAGTAATTATCTCCGATTTTGGTGTAAAGGTTCTCTCCAATTTTGGGTTGGTATTCATCTCTTTCAATTGTTTGGGTGATAGAATCTGATATTTCAAATTTCCCACGAGCAAGGACTGGAGAAGAGGTCTGGAATTGGGAATAGCTTTTTGGAGCAAGGATTTTATAAAAGTCGATCATGGTATATGGAGGAAGCACAGCCAAGTTATTTATGTAACTTGAAATCCATGTTGTAAGTAGAAGTAGAGTGTAGTAAGAAAGATTGATCAGTAATGAGCTTGCTCTCAAATGGATAACCAGTAGAGTTGTATTTATATTCTGAATCAACCATAAGCAAGTCAACTAAAGTTCCATCATAAGGTTCCCCATCTCAAGCTCCTATGGTACACTTCCTAATTTCCCAGGCTAAATAGGTATAGTTTGAACCATAGCTATTCTGCAGCAGATAAGCATCTCTGTAAAAGTTATTGATGATACTGTTGTTTGGGTGTAGGCATAAGTAATCTTCAATTCCAATAGCAGTCAGATGATCCTCTAGCTCCTCGGTGAATAATGTAGTGTTACAAGGGATTAGCTCAAGAGGACTATCGACGATGGTCAAACCTCCATCTTGAGATGACCTGAGGAAGACCTCCAATGTAAATGAGTTTGGATTGTAGGTATGATTTCTCCATTTAAAAGCTAAGTTAAAATTCCTTCTAAAAACAAAATGAGTTTCAAGGCTCAAATATGCAGGAGAGTAAAATTGAGCTGTTTCAGACTTCTTGAAAGAACTGAACGGAACCTTTTTCGGACTGATATCTGTCCCTAAATAAGGAGAGCATAGCTCATCTGCTTTCTCAGGTCATGTGGTGGAGTAAGAGCAACTGTAAGTGTAAGGGTCTACAAGAAAGTTAGATCACAAATTTTGAAACTGTTGTTTATGACTCATCCTGAAACAAAGTAAGAGTATTAACTTGCAATCTGGTACTTTGAGACTTGTGCTTTACTAATTACCTGGATCAAGAGTCGTCCCTGAACTTGTAGATGTATTTGTACTTGTATCTACAGATTGGCAGGCTGATATCTCAGTGTTGTTATTCATAGTTGAAGTTTTAGATTTGGTCAATATAAACACTTCTGAAGCCAGAGAAGTCTTAACCAAAAGGACTAGGTAAGCGGTCATACACAGAAAGATCACAATGGTGGCAAGGCCACCAATTACTGTCTTGTAGTGTTCCTTGCCATTTTTAGTCAAGAGAATAGGCTTGCTCAAGTCTTTACTCGAGGTAATCATTTTATTATATTGGGTAAGAGTAGTTATTTAATAAAAGGGGTTTTGGGGTTTTGGGGTTTTGGGGTTTTGGGG